TGCCCTAATAATCTTGCAACGCCCATAGACAAAAATATGCCCTGAAAATTAAGACAGTGTGGGTTGATGGTTGCCGTTCTAAATAAGTAACGTTAGCCTGGAATCAAGCTCTTGGTACTTGTTTGCGATGATACTAAGAATATATCCGTATTGTTAACCAATTTAAACAGCAGGAGTGGAGGGGGCGAGCCTGGAAAAAGCTTACAAGGATAATATACCTTAACACAAAAGATCAAGTTCTACCTAAAACCAGATTGATAAGGAGTGTAGTGTATTTCTTGAAAACAGTCCTATTTGTCGAAGAGTTTTCAGCAACCTTGTGAGTAGTCTCCTTTATGAAAAGGTTCTATCTAGTTCTCTAGCTCACTCGCGCCAGGTCGCATTTTTACGATCCTCATGAGTTTACACTCAGTCACTTCTAAAATGTGGCTGGCAACAGAAAACTCAGTACTGTTATTTGCTATTTGTGATGAGTAGTCCCAATCGATTCCCCTCTCCTTTTGAAATAGAGAGTGACAAGCTTACTTGGATTCGTAATTTTGTGTTCATGTAGGAAATTTCCGAGGTGCTGACAAATACGCCGCATAACAGCTCAGGCCCGTTTGCCGCAAAAATACTTAAGATTTAGGTCTTACAGTAGAACCTCGCGAACAAAGTATCATACCACGATACTACTTAAATGATCGACAAAACTATGGATCGCTGCAATTGAATTCATCCTTCTTGCTACTCATCAGTTAGGCTTTGCGTCTACCCCAAATCTCCGTCAATAGTAGTTTCTACTTAAATACATAATTCTACTAACTTCGCAATATAAGATATACACACAATAAATATATGTAATATAATAAAAATATAGTATAATCATTTATAAAGTAAGCTGGAATTGACGAGCGAGATCATTTCTAGTGTCCCCCAACTGAATGTACTGTACAAGGTCCCACCCGCGGAATTTCGGTTGTAATGCTTGAAAAGTCAGCTCAGGGTTTGAGTTGACGATTGGTACCCACAGAATCCTAATGTTCAACGGAAACCTTAACGGACCAATAAGAAGTGGTCATTTTGGAGGAATGATATCCCTTAGAATGTCGCACAAGAAGGGGGACAGCTATCATTCGGCTTCTCTGTCTAGTCTAATCCATGATTTCATGCACACGATTGACGTTCTCCTCTATCGAAGAACAGTTCAATGAGTTGGGGCAGCACTCGGATGATATTGCATGAGAAATCTTCTGGACAGAATAAAGATCGAGTTATTGATCTCACGTTTTGTTCCATGTGATTACAATCAACAATCAATCGTTCAGCTGTAGCACGCTTTTGGTGCCTAGCTACCTTGCCGCATGAAGGAGGCATGAGGGCTAGGATACTGCCAGATTGTCCAAGCCTAGACAGGGAAAGTCGATGGGCAAAAAGCGGGTTCGAACCACGGACATTAAATTCGCGCTCTAACCGCTTGATCCATCTTGTAGGTGTTCTGGTCTTATCAGGACCAGAAATCAAGCCCATGGGAGTGCAAATGTAAGTCCACTTTAAACCCAGTGCAAGCAACCTTGAATGCAGTCCTCGTTGCGGGTTACTTTAGCCGATAATAGTTTTTGGAAGAACCAATCCGTATCGCAGTTGGTCGGCCAACTAGACCGTCTCTGATTCGTCCGCCTCAGTTTTCAAACCGAAGCAGCTTGCGTGAGTAGTGGTTATCCTCGGCTCCACGAGAACTGATCGCATCGATCGTAGTGGACTTCAACTGTTAATTGTAGCAAATTACGTCATCACCCAGACAGTTATTTGACTGGGCAGCTTAACAGCGCGGTAACCTGCGCTGGAGAGAAAAATCTGAGTGAACTATCTCACAGACCCCGTTTGTGCGTAAATCTTTCACCGGGTGACTCGAGTTTTTCCGTACAGTCAACGTGCGGCTTGAACGAACAAATGAACAAATACGCAACAGTAGCGGTACCACTTTTTCCAGTTTATCTGGTACTTTAATTTATTGGCTGGGTGACTCCCCAACTCAAACTGGTATCCGTTTGGATTGGAACTGCCTGCGTCTTCTATGAGTTCCTCGACTGGTGTCTTACGCAGTTTTAACCTCTGTGGTTCTGGTGTTCGCTTACTCCTGACGGTTAATGAATTGCTCGTCAATCGCATTTGCCCGCAGAGTTTCCGCTCTGAAAAAGATTGACCGGTCAAAACGAGAAACGGGAGAAAATCATTCTCTTATGTGAGGATATGTTCGGATGAGGAGCCACCAGAAATCAGGTTAGAATATGGTCGGTTGTAGAGGTAAGGCAGTTCGGTTATAGACTAAGTCTCACGATACAAAGGCAACTTGGTCCGCTTTTAGAAATACGTTTAGGGAAGCAAGGTAGAAAAATAGCCTGCATAGTTCGGTATGGTCTTTGCACCTGCAGTGTAAAGCATGGGTGGGATCGGACCTAAACTTGATACCTACAAATGAACCGATCGATGTTTTAGATAAGTTCATTTATCCGGACAGCTACACAAGTCTCTGTGGACGGCATGGAAACGAAATCGGTTCCCGAATTCGGAGGCCCGGGTCGACATTTGCCGATCTCCGACATTTGTGGCAATGACCTGACACTAACCTCACCTTCAATGTTACTGTAAATCGCTACAGTCTCTTCTGTCGTACTTTATGTATCGAAGACGTGTTTGTGGAAGACCTTCGGAGACTTTCTGTGTTTGACCATCAGTATTTCCAAATTTCACCGGGGGATTAGCGAGAACATCAGACTGGTACTATTGGAAGTTTATCCTCCATTGATAGATCACACTAGTTCTAGGTAGGTCACGTGTCTCGTAGCACCCTCATCGCAGAGCCTCGTGTCGGATGGATATGACCGAGGGTCAGTCAGTCCACGGCTTGGCAACAAAGTATAAGGCCAGAGAAATACACTCATTTGCAAATAAATTCGGTTTTGCGAGAGACTCACCTGGAACCTGACTGAATCTTTCGTTTGTGATGTTTCCAGGCAACTGAATGTGCTGCATCAGGCCGCCTCATTTTTCAGTCGCTACGATATTCGAGGTATCGCGATGCATGTATATTCGTAGGGCACTACTCATTACATTGCTCATACGGTACTTATTCTTCGATAGCCCACGACCGGTTTCGCCTATCTTTTGGCTCATCAGCTAGGCATATTTTCCGAGTTTCCGTCAACCTTATGTTCTACTTGAATCCGAATTGCACGAAATTAGTGAAATACACTCATTTGTAAACAAATTTGGTTTTGCGAGAGACTCACCTGGAACCCAGCTGCACATTCAGTTGCTTTCAAACACCATAAACGAGAGATTCAACTGGATTCCCGGTGAGTCTCTATTCCGGTACACCGTGATTTATAATTAAAAAATCATAGCTGTTCCTTGTTGACTGCATGTTTGTTTATCTCCCTGTGAATGGCTTAATCACCAATTAGAGACAGTTCGTCAATACGCGGATGAGTTGTATAGTCCAAGAACTATTTGCCGCAGCGATTCAGAACCTGGTCTGACTTCTGTGTTCCGGTAATTTTCGATTGATAGGACAATCAGGTTGACAGAATAGTCCGTATTCTCACTCAGCCGACAAGCCCCAATCTGCAGGACGATGTTATCGGGGGCGATAAAGTACTCAGCCACATCCGAATTGTAGAGACTTTTTCTCAGTAAATGCTACGACCCTGATCAAACAGCCTTAAGTACGCCTTCTGACGAAAAAACTGGGAGTTACCGAAGGCAGCTTTTTCAGAAGTCACATGACTCCATCAACAAGGAGTTCAGTTTTTGGTCATCGTACCTCAGTCTCCAATACCCGATATAACTGTACGGTATAACTGTACACACCGACAGTCGAAGATATAGTGATGCATAAAAGAAGATCCATTCTGGAAGGTAAACGTTTCCAACTGAAGCAGCTCTTGGGGCTGAAATTCCATAAAGATGTTGATATCTGTACACCTATTAAAGATGCTGAGTTTTACCACGGAACTGCCACAATCCGCTTGTTGGAAATGTTAACAGTGTCTTCTAGTCCACTTCTGGCGCTTTGACAACCATGTGCACCAGAGATTTGCCCGGGCAGTTCATAAACAGTCTCACCGCTGATAGCCGTCTCAGAGTACTTGTGCAGTAAAAACGGTCAAACATGGCTTTTATCGAAAGAAGCGGAAACGGAGGTTTACAAACTCAGACCTCAGATTGTTATGGCCTCGGAAATTACCACGTTGTCCCGTCCAGCTTGGATCAAACTTGGACGCTCAGCAGTTTATGTACCCACCATACCGCCCGTCGCCAAATTCTCTTCCTATATGACTTGAGAAAGAACCTGGGTTTTGGTGATAAACTGAATTCCTATGTCTTAGAGAACCAGATGCCTAAAACTGTACAAGACTTCAGACAGACTTCGAAAACTGATCCCGTTTCACTAAATGAACTGCGTATCGATCACGTGACCACGGCCATGCAAAACGTGGAAATTGCTCGTGATTGTGGGTTCTTCAAAAAAACCGATTAAATAAGGACGATGAAGTGTCTTGAGTAGCTGCAGTGCCTAGAGGAAAAGTGTGGATCACGAGACGGAACGGAGCTTCAGCTAACCAAGAGATTCCATCAGTTATCGATATATATATATATATATATCCATATACTTATATATTCACATACGTTAATATATGTAAATATATGAACACATAGATATGAACTCATTTATACTGATATGTACCCACAAATATTAGATACGCTACATATCACTTTATATGCTAAAAAACTAAATTGTCTGAACTTTTGAGGTAGTCTGAAAAAGAAGTCCTTCCATCAAGCGGGGAAAAGTATGAAAGAACGGTTTGCATTACTGTCATGGCTACCTAATACTTTTATGTTGCCTTGTTACCACGTTTTCACAATAAAGCCCAAAGTCCAGTTGGACAAGAAACATAGAAACAACCACCAACCCACCGCTACGCACTACTACGCTCCTCAATAACGCGCTGATGATGTCACCTCGATTGGTGATGAAACGGTTGCAATCAAATTGCCCAGCTCAGCGAACAAGCCAACGACCACCAGCTACGCTACCTGAGCTACCGACATTTTCCTCTATAGAAAACTTAGAAATCCTGTTAGTTATCTCCTAGATATCGGACAGCCTTCCACACCTTGAGAAGAAAAATAAAAAGCTGAACTATTCTCAGCTTTTTGGCTATCTTACTTGTTACGAACATCCACACTGGTCTTGTTGCATTAAAGAACACGTCTCTCGGGTTGTATATAGATCCCTACTGAATCAAACAGGGGAAGGCCTGTAATTACGAACTCAGAAACATGAATTCACTTGAATTCACATGAATTGTTCCTCGTAAACGTCACTGTGATCTGTAAACGAGTGCGCCTTGTCAAAATGGATGTCTTCCATTGGCAACGCATCAGTTACATTCAGTCACTTATCTCAGCGCCATTTAACCGAGCTTTTAGTTTTCACTGCATGGGACTGTTTTCTCTTGCATGAATTTGCACGGAATGAAGAAGATACCCGGCAGTAAGTCGTTGTTTGGTGGAAGTAATAACACCTGTTTACGGTGTGAAGCCTTGTCCCAATTTCGAACGAAACTGCAATGGCTAGGTGTCTTGTATGCCTCTGCAGATGCGCTGTTTCCTGTGTCCACATTGTGATCAAAGCTACCACAGATCTGTCGGACGTGTTAAGTTGGCTTACGCAGCTACAAACCGAACGGTCACTACCTGAGGTTGTCTGCCACCAGAACTGTCACTCGTTTGTAATTCTACACCCAGCTACGCGCCAGGAGTAACCTTTACTGCCTAGTTTCAATAGATGCTGATGATAGCTTGAACAAAGGATCGTATGCACGCCTTCACCAAGGAAACGTTTGGTCGCGTTCATTTGGAATCCAATTCCGGTTTGTGCCGGTGCAAATTTGTCAATAAATGTTTCGCTGTATCGTTATTTCACTGAATGAACGCGCACCTTTTAGCACAGAAGTGAAATCTACACGTAAAAAGATTTCTACTCTGTCTCACTTCTCAGTCATATAGTTTTACGTATATACTGAGAGAACGTACCCCTTTGAATATTTTGGCCATTCCTAACAGATGTGGGCCAAACACCTTTCCATCGGATGTCAGATTTGGCGTACAACGGCACAGTTGTTTGTTTAGAATCGCAGATAACGGAGCTAGACATTTGAAATGTATACCAACTCTCAAATTCCCCTGGCCATCAAGTTTACTTCAGCTGCCCTAATGTACTCTACAGACAATAGGACTCACGCCGACCACAAAACCTATTCGTAATTTTCAAGAGAAGAAAACTAGTGCCAGTGTCCTTCTTTACCAGGAGCACTCTGTGTCAGACATTTATTTCTTTCCAAAACTTCTGCAAATCTAAAAGCAGAGAAGAGGCTTTGGAGACAGGACTCAATTAAGAATTATCCTCTCCAAAAAAGAAGTTCTATCTCCCCAGCCCAGGTCTTTTGGTCGTCTTTGAGGTAATCGAAAGACCGGTATAATCATATGGGTCCCAATTTCCAGAATGACCGCGAGAAACAACAAAGAAGTCACTGCTTGATGATGTTCATACGAGCTAAAACACAAGTAATTTTATACAGATTTGTTAAGAGGGAAGAGCAGTCAACGAATTATTAAGCTAGTTCCAACATTTTTTCTTTTCAAATGCCGCAAAGTGAACGTTGAAATGAATACTATTTACTTGAAAGGTCGTTCTGGAGTCACATTTACTGGATCAAATGTCATTCCAAAAAAACGCGCATAATAAGTCCACCTTCAGTAATAAAAACAGAGTGTGGACTTTTCGGTAAACTAAGTCGAGTTGGTTCTTGTACCCTCACAGGCACACTCATCGAACGTTGGAGTGCGGCTTCCACCATACCCCGGCAGACCCAGTGACTATCTACGCTTATATTATCTCCGCTTAATTGAGTCTGGCAAGCAAAAGCACGGAGTATTTAGTTATTGCCTCAGATAATAAATGCGCAGTAACTATTCCCACATCCTTAGCGGAAGTTTTAGGGTAGCCGGACTGTCCTGCACATAAAAAATTTCGGTCAACTGTCTACCTGGATGACGAAAACCCGAAAACAACTTTCAAAGCCCACAGCCGCTTGCCAGCCAGCCTAAGCGAAACTTGCCTCTTCTCACACTTCACAAAACAGTCGTGAGAACGGACGCCTGCAGGTGACCATTTAAAAGAGAGTGCGGATTTAAGGCTTGCCAGCTGAATTCCGTCAGAATGGTTATTGCAGTTGGGGGCGCAGCCGCCACTCGTGACTCCGAGGGCTGAGGCGATGATGCCGGCTACACACTGCTCAATCAAATGATCCATGTTGACCTAGACACGGTAATTGCAAACGAGCAGAGGCCAGTGTTTGAATATAACTTAAGAGTGACCACGATTAAATAACACAATGAGAACGTCGCCGAATCTGGAATCTGTTTACAGAATTCGGCGCTTTAAGTTTTCTTGAATAGTAATTGATAACCTCTTCATACACCCTCAGCAGTCACCCTCCCCTCTGACTGTTCCTCCTTGATTAAACTTTCTTGAGTCACAATCTTGCCAGGACTTGTCAACCGGAGCTTTCTACTATCTGATGCTCTCCCTGTTGAGGTTCCCGATACGAAACTTTGAGAAACGCGTAGGATCGACAATCCAGAAGGTCTAAAGAAAGAATTGGGTTCGTAATTCTAGTGCACCATTTACACAAGGGCAAGCAAATGTGTAAACCAACCTCAGTTTTTACGTTCGTAGGGTCAACCAGTTCACAGGTCTGTCACTGGCCCGCACAGTGCAACGTCGACGCCGGCACACCAAACGGCAGCGAACGGTATGATGGCCCAGTGGCGTGGGTTGCTGTTGTCCCTTCCGACGACACGCGTGCAACGGGCTTGGTAAAACCTCGTATGCACAACGACCAGTAGCCAGATCTGACTCCCATCTGCTTCCCCCGCCCTGCCCACACATTCCCTCCAACTTGAAAACCCTATTCGGCTACCACCCATTTCTCTGCACCCATCGCCCCTTTCTGCACTCTATCCCTTCCACATCTCCCGGCGGCGCGCAAGACAACACGGCTGACAACAACACACTCCCTCAGAAACATTCCAAACCTTGTACCAGGGCTCCATCGATACTCCACCGTCCGACACGACTTCATGCCTACTTTACCCGGTAGTTGCCCCTCTAAGAACCCCAGCTTTACTTCTGAATTCAACACAGCATCAAACTGAAATGTGGGCGAAGTTAGAAACCTCTTACTTAGTACGGTTTGCTCACCAATGAGCCTGTCAGGCAGAGTGGTTACGCAGAGGGGGAATCAAGCGAAAATTTGTGCTTCTAGTCACTATTTCCTCCCCATTGCCATACGGAAGATCTTGGAGCGGACTGTTAGCATTCAAAGGCCAACCCTACGATCGAGTCTATATCCGAGGACCACCCTTTAGAGGTTCGAAAGCTGTGTCGTAGAGGTCCGAGACGAGGAACGCGAAAAGGGCTTCCGCTTCGCTCCAGTTCCTTGTTTCTTTGAGAGTACCCCGACGCAACTGACCACGACTCTAGATTGGAGCTTCTACGTAAATAAAGCGAACCCCTTGTCTACTAAAGCCAGCAGTGCCTGGAAGAAGGCAACGCTCACGAGGAGGTAGGGTTATCATCGCTTGATCCCGTAGCGGACGAGAAAGACGCATCAGTAAAATTCACACCCCAGTTGGATTGGGTCATAACTCAGGAGACAAGCGGCGAAGCCTGCTGACTAATCAACCATAAGCGTTTACCTCGATATCAAGGAATGCTCACAGAACCCTATGGTTACTAAAACTCCAAAGCTGTCTTAAGCAGTCTCAAGCTCCACTCCGTCAAAAGAGACCTCTTCGAGTGTGAATACTGTCGTGGCCTATGACCTCGACAGCCAAAGTCACAAGCCCAAATGGAAGATTCTCTCGAATACTCAGTAGGCCACGACGCCCGTGGATGACTCGGGAGTACACACAAACGCTAAAGAAAAGCGACTGCGGCCAAACAAGCCACACAAACGTCGCCAAGTCGGAAAACTGTTGGCTAGCTTCAAGGTGCAGTC